TTCAGCTGTTTTCAGCTATCCCGTTGCTCTCAGAGGCTTTGAAGGCATCAAGCAAATCTCCGGCCCTGCTGTCTTTGCTCCGGCAGCATCTTCCGGCATTTTCAGGTTATATGCGTGTTTCCCAAAGCAACCAAAAAATGCAGGGTAAATACGAATGGCTTTGGCGAAGGCTCAGGATCTCTTTTAATCCGATGCTTCAGCTCGCATGCGAATACGGATATTATACAATGGGGGTTCATGCGACGGAATATGCCTTTAAACGCATAACTGTTTCATGGGACATATCTGCATGCCATGAAAGAGTAGTCTGCTTCAATGCCTTCTACCGTCTCCCTTAAGCAAGTATGAAAAAGTGGAAAATGAAACACGGTTTTCGGTCAGTTATGAAATTATTAATATACGCCGCGCACCTGGCTACATTTTCGATTCATGTGATTGTATTACATCAATGGCTGGAAATTGAATGTATGAAACAACATCATAAATTGAATTTTGCGTGAACATCTGAAGATTGGGTAGAACATACTTATGTTGTACTGATCCACTAAAGAGTGTCCTTCAAGTGATGGGTCCGGGATATCCGGACTCGGACATGATGCGTTTCGTGTTTGCATAATGCTGTTGAATATCATTATCAGGATAGGTCGAATCCGGTTCATTTTTACGCTGTTCAATCACCTTTCTTGAAAAGAAATCAGGATGACCTCTTTTGGATATTATTACACTAAACAATCAACTAAAAGGTGGCTAAAAGGTGAGTGCGGCAATAAGGGGCGCATCGGACTGTATGATCAGACCAGAATATACCATACTGTCCACATTATTTGGCAGTCACTGACTTACTATCCGTTTCTCGGTGGGCTGGGTTAAGGCAAGGTACGATTAACAAAGTAGTACTCATTAGTCAGCTTCGTAAAGAAGAGGGACCAATGGCCCCGGTCCGGGTTTGAACCTTGGACCTCTCGGTTCTATGAGTCTAGCGCTCTATTGACTGAGTAACTCTGGCCTGAAGCAACCCGTGCTAAATTCCTCGGTCAAGAGAATGCACGGACATGATCCTGATTGTCCGTTGAACGGATTTTAATCCGGCATCTCCTGAGTTTAACGCGCACTTTTTAGGCGCTTTGCCACCACATCACCAGTGCCCAGTGTCCACTTTGGGCATCTGTCAGAAAGCAGCGCAATGAAAAGTTTTTCCGGGCTCAAGTACATCGATGCTTTCAATTGGCTGGTTACCAGACGAAAGATATAATTGGTGCGTCACAGCAACGAGTGGTTTACCGATTTAAAGCCACTCAGTGGTGTTCTTAATCTC